GAGGTGCTGGAGCGTGTCCAGAGAAGGGCAACGAGGCTGGAGAAGGGTCTGGAGAACAAGTCTTACGAGGAGCTGCTGAGGGCACTGGGGTTGTTTAGCCTGGAGAAAAGGAGGCTGAGGGGAGACCTCATCGCTCTCTACAACTACCTGAAAGGAGGTTGTAGCGAGGTGGGTGTTGGTCTCTTCTCCCAAGTAACAAGCAATAGGATGAGAGGAAATGGCCTCAAGTTGCGCCAGGGGAGGTTTAGATTGGACGTGAGGAAAAATTTCTTTACTGAAAGAGTGGTTAAACATTGGAACAGGCTGCCCAGGGAAGTGGTTGAGTCGCCATCCCTGGAGGTATTTAAAAGACGTGTAGATGAGGCGCTTAGGGACATGGTTTAGTGGGCATGGTGGTGTTGGGTTGACAGTTGGACTTGATGATCTTAGAGGTCTCTTCCAACCTTAATGATTCTAGGATTCTAGGATTTTTATAGGATTTAGATCCTATAAAATAATAGGATGCTTTCTGTCGTACACGATCAAATGCTAGAAGAGAAATTTGTTTTACGTGTTACTGTAGGAACATAATGGAGGGCTATTGAATGGAAGGGAACACAGTACAGAAGCTTATGAACTGGCAGCATGAATGAGTTCAAAGAGAAGTCCATTCAGACAGGAGCATCAAGAGTATCAGTAGAGTGTTTCTTTTAATATCGGAGCTTGATTATCTGTAATCCTTTAATGCTTTGTTCTCTTCTCTCAAGTGGGCCATGCTTTCAACCTGGAGGATTGGTCCCCACCTGACGAACAGTCTAACCCACTGTGGCAGAGGCTGGTTCTGTGGGGAAAAGAGACAGGGGGCTTAGGGAAGTTGTATTTCTGTGCGAAACTTCAGGAAAGCTGAAGAGGAAATGCATACCTCAGAAGACCAGTCAGACTGGGTGTCTTGTGACAGGATTGCAGCTATGGAGTAGACTGTTTAGTTCTTGGAAAAAATTGTTAGGCAATATAGAGAATCCTGGTTACATGCACAAAAATTCACTACTGCTGGTATATATTAAGGGAGGGACTTTAATTCAACATCTGAAGGATAGGAGGCAAAACTCTTTATTTTAGGGAACATAACTCTTAAGTTGGCATTACTTATGTGGTGGTCTGAGTTCCTTTTCAGCAAATTTTAGTACAGTATGTACAAACTGTATAGCAACACTTATGTTCTGGTCATATTACCTCTGAATATCATGTGGACTGATGATCTGTTTTTTTTCCTATTTCCCATCAGCAAATGTACCTGAACTGCTAAAATGTCACAACTTTGCAGGAAGCAGGAGAGGCTGTCAGAGCCTTTTCTTTCCAAGTATTATTGACTGGAACTGTTGGAGTGAAAGCCTCTTCATAATGGCTTGGGGCTGTGCAGAAGAGGCTCTCTAGTCACTTGAACTCTGTGTTGCTTGGAAGTATGAAGATGGCTTGTTAGTTTTTCACCTTGTGATGGGCAAGTTGAAGAACTGGAAATCTAGTAATGGATACTATAATGAATTGGGACTTACAGATTCTGTTTCTGAATCTGCCACTGATTGTTAGCAATATCATGTTCCTCCATCTTCAAAAACAAGAGGGTGGGTGGGAAGGCCAAGTCCCTTGCTAGGATGTATAAATGGGAGTGTAGTTCCTAGGACTTTGCTATACAATGAAGGAGAGTAAGCCTTCAGCTGCGATACTGTGTCTGTTTTGGGGCAAACCACTTCAAGAAAAGCATGAACCAGCTGCCAAGACAGCAGCAACAGTGATGCAAGGTCTGGGAAAGGTGAGTTGTGATGAAAGATGGAAGCACCTACAGTTACCTGCTCAAGAGAGGTTTGAGACCTCTCAAAGCTGACACTTTCCAAATGTGCAAAAAGCCCTCGCAAGGGGGAAGCTATGGACTTCATGTCTGTGAGGAATAGGATGTGGCACCAGGGCCGTCTCGGTTAGACATCTAAAAGGCTTGAACATAAAGATATCTAAGCACTGGAACAGACTGCCTGTCACAAGCAGGGTTTTGACAAATGTGTGTACGAGTGGTTTAGACTTAGTTGGCCCTGCTGTGGGGCATGAGGATAGACTAGATGATGTCTCAAGATTCTTTCAGGCCTACTTTCTGTAGTTATATGATGCTAGGTTGGTGAGTCACACTTAAGCTGTGAGACTCAATTTGCCCAATGCAAAGGATCCTTTGGCTATTATTACTTCACAGCACCAAATATCCAGAAGCATATGAGTCTCCAAGTGCTTCTGTTATCTTTTTTTCCCATCCCCCCAGGAAATGCATGTACCTGTCTGAACATAATCTCAAAACCACAGAACTTTCTGTTAAAGTATTCGTAGGTTTACATCTGTCTGTTATTAGGGTTCCCTCTGCTCCAAGGAATGCTTTTTTGCACATTTTCTCTTGGTTGTTTGCCTTTTGCATGGAACAGGAGCTCTCAGTTCACATTGGAATGTCTTAGTAGGCTGAGAGTAGTTTACACAAATACAAATCTTGCCCAAATCCAAACCTTATTTAAATGACCAGTCCCAGCTTTTCAGTGCTAGAAATCTATCAAAACACACTGATACAGAAATACAGCCTCCTTTTTATCGCTTTGCAGAGACGTGTTTGGAGTGTCTTATCCCTAGTTTTCTGCAAGGGGCACCTACTTTAATTTTATGGCAAATTTTGTACCTGTTTGGATTAAAAAGGTATATTATCCTGATAGAGGAAATGAGGGATTAGTACAGATAAACACCACCACTGTTTTTCCTTTCCTCTCTGCTTCTGCTCCACAGCTCTCGCCTTTTTGGAGGGTGGATATTGAGTCTTAAAAGCCTTTAGTATGTCTCAAGTGATTTCAGAATTACTACGACCTTGACTTCGTAGTGACCTTCTGAGGAATGTCTTTGTCAAAGTGAAGCAAGGACTGTAAATACCATCCTGCTAGAGAAAGGAAGAGCTTACTTCACTGCTGTAATAGAAGTGCTTTGTCATTCTGGCTAAGGGAAACTGGTCTACATTCCAGTTCTCCTCTCAAAATGCCAAAGAATGCAGTCAGAATATCCTGTGTTTGCCTTTACTGCAGTTCTTGACAAGAAAAATAAATTAAATCTACCAGTAGAAGACAGATCTTTTTCACGTTTCATTCCCCCTTTTCTTTCTGTAGCATCTGAAAGCAGGACTGCATATGTCTTTATCTGGTGTTCTTAATTTTATCAGTTTTAAAATTGAAAATACCAGTACTTCGATTAAATTGAAAGAAATCAGTGTCTCTAGCCTTTGTGGACACATTTTTTAATCTCTTGACAGGAGAGATGTAATCTCTATAAATACATTAGGGCCCTATTGCATCAATCCTTATACATGGAGTAATTTCCAATCTCCCACAGTCTCGAGACACAAGTCAGTGAAGAGCAATCTAGAGAAATCACTGTACGGATAAGACATACTCTTACTGTAGCATTTCAGATGGATGGATGTAGAAGAGAACGTGTGCTTACTGTCCACTGGAAGTTGAATAAAATAGGTTTTACTTAATGCTCATCAGCCTAATGGGAGATGATGACTACACTGGAGTCTGTAGTAATTCTTGGTTCTTGCACAATCAGTTATTAAAAATCTTTATTCAAAAGCTACTTACGAATCCTCGAAAAGATGCCATTCTGTGTTTCCTTCTTTGGTTTCTAGACTTGCTCCATATCTGAGGCCCACATGTGAAGATGTTTTGTGCTTGTGCTTCAACAGAGCTTTCAAAAGTAGGGGCAGATTCAAAGTTCCCAACCATTCTGGCTTATGTGTAACAATATGGAGCAAGGGACGTGTTGCTGTTGGCAACACCTTCATTGTCAGCAATGTGGAAAGCAAAATGCAAAGTTGTGAGTGTCATCAGGAGATCCCCTGCAAGCCATGGGTTAATATTCAGCAGTATAGTGACTTTCATTGTTGTGCAAATAGTGAGAATGAGACATGAAGGAAAAATGTGCCATAAAATAGCGTTATCTTAGAAGTTAAGTGTGAGCAGTTGAACCAAACCCAAACTCTGGCAATTCTGGAGTTAGAAACCAGGCTCTTCCTTTACTGGGAGAGAGGAAATATCTTCCAGGTTTGACTGACTTTGATTGGTCTGTTAGTTCCAGAAAGTTTGTCTCCCTAAGCCATGATTTATTTGAAAACTGCTTCTTAAAGCTCATTTTATATTTAAGAAAAGCGTGACAACTATAGTTAAGACTGAATGTCTATTCTGTCTGGTGAGTTCTTGCATGCTTGGCCTGTGTGCATGGTCCGTTTTCTTGTTACTCTTGGAGTGTCTGCTAGCAATTAGCTCTCCGCTCCTAAAGGCTGTGCCACAGAGGACCGCATCCTACTCTATTTGAATCTCATGACCTTATGTAGGTCTGTACTTTGGGGGTGTTCTCCACTAAGTCCCTAACATTTTTTATTTTTTTTTTCCCCAGTGATGTGTCCCTTTTCACTGATTGCATTGGGTAATCTGTTTCTGATTACAGGTGAAAGAAGCAGTGAAATACGCCCTAAGTGTGGGTTATTGCCACATCGATTGCGCAGCAGCTTACAGCAATGAAGCAGAGATCGGTGAGGCTTTCCAGGAATGACTTGGGTCAAGGTAAAAACACAAGAATTGCCATGCTGACTGTGTGTTCTATCAAAATTTACAACTGTGACCTGAAAGTAGACTGTAAAGTTAACATTTGTGGCTTTTCCTCCTAGCCTATCCCAGCTGTTTGTTATTAATCGGGAGCAGGCATGAAAGAGAGCTTTCTCTCATCTTACAACGATCCTGGCTGTCAGGAGGAGAAAAGGTTGTCAAGGAATATTTGCATGGAAGCTACAGAAAATGCCTTTTTTTTTTTTTAATTTCCCTGCCTGCCCCTTTCCCCCTCACAAAGTATCCCAATTTGGGTGTTCAAAATTTTGAGGTTCCTGGAATCAGTAGTTATAATGTAAAATATTTGCCATGATTTATATGAAAAGTGACTCTAGTTTGCCAGTCTAGAATAGCATGCAATGGTGGGTAGCCACAGCAAATTTGGTGACTGTTGGTTTTTTGGTTATAGATAAAATATGAGTAAATACGTACTTTTTTTTTTAAACAATGATTACATTTGAAGGTTTGGTAACTGTGACTCTAGGGCGTGCACCTGGGTGTCCATGGCCTAAATATAATGTAATGTGACAGGTATTCCTATGAATGACCTGAGGTGGAATCTTAAATTCATCCCCTTGCTTTTGTTGGCTCGAGGGGCCAGAAGGATTACCTGTACAGTCTTAGAGCCCATGGAAAGGAAGTTCTATGTTCCTGCTTTCCTGCTGCTCTTGTCTTGGTTTAGGGCAATCTCTTTGTTATGTGATGAGCTTGAGAGAGGCTGCTTTCAGCTTGCCCCAGGGATTCCTTCCTACTAGATATGGTAACTAATATAGGGAAGCATAGGACTCTCCTATTCAGTTCATATTAGCTAGCTAACTTAAAACTAGAATTTTTAGAACATCTTTCTCTTTGAACACAACAGCCATATGTGAAACACAGAAATAACTGAATGGTTGGAGGAGAGAAACTAAGGAATTAATCATTCCAGCTTCTACAAAGTATAGAGTTGAGTGAAATTTGGTCACGCGTAAGACAGCGAGAAGTGCCCTCTGATGGTGTTCTGTGCTTCAGCTTGCCAAATATGATCTTCCTTTTGCATTTTATATTTCCTAGTTAACCAACTCTCTATTTGTTTAATTTCTGGGCCTTACCCTTCCAATACAGGGTACAGGGCGCTCAGTTCTTAGTGCACTCCTTCCAGAACCTAGAAACTCAAGTGCTGAGGTTTGGGGAAACTTCTTCTGTTTATTTTCCCACGCTCTTTCCATGAGAAGCATTCTTGGTTTGTAACATGTGATGAGTATAAGTAAATCAGCTGGTTGTGCATAGAATATGTGAATTGGTAAGTAGAAATTACAAAATTTACATATGAATAAACTGAGTAATCTTTCTTTTGGCCACATCACACTTAGTAGCGGCTTTAACCCTTGAACTGGAAAGTTTGGAAAAGTGTGTGTGTGGAGAGGATTGTTTTGTTTTTCAAAACTTCTAATAAATTGCTAAGTATTTGGTATACTTTAGGACTTGCCAATGTGTCTTTCGCTCTTCTCCATCCAGTATATTTTTGAAAAGTTTAATTTGTAGGTTCCATGTGTTACCTTTTTTTTTAAACTTAAATTGTTCTCTTTTTTTACAGCTAGTTGGGGAATTGTTGCAATTCTCTTTCTGAACTTGTTCCAGTAAATCATGCTCTCTTCCCTTTCTTTAAGGTTATTAAAAGGGAGGACCTGTTTGTAACATCAAAGCTCTGGAATACCAAGCACCACCCAGAAGACGTAGAGCCAGCTCTAAGGAAAACACTTGGAGATTTGAAACTGGATTACCTGGACCTCTACCTCATGCACTGGCCTCACGCCTTTGAGTAAGTTCTACATGGAAAGGGCACATAATGCAGAAACCCCAGTTTTACATAAGTGGCTGGTGTTATATCCTGAGGACCTTCTTTCTGAGCTGTGAATTTCTTCCTGTGTATACTGCCTGCAAGATGTTTTTCAGTGTGGCTAATAGTGTAGTCCTATGGAGTGTCATACAGACACTCTTTTCTACCCATAACCTGTACACTTACTCATATTTGGTCCATTCATTCACAGAAACAATTGTTCAGATTTCATTCTTCTTTGAATTTCAGTTGGGTGGGAATTTGTTTACTGTTAGATTTGTAGCATGTTTGTGAACACACAGTAGAGGAGACAAAACTTCTGTTTTTGTGTAGAAGTATTGTAAATAGAAAAGTGATAATTGTTCTCATTATTTAGCAATGATGAGGCTGGAAAAATGAGTATTAAGTCTTCATTTAAAATCTTTAAGCAATTACTTAGATTTTTTAATATTGGGAACAACTAGGTAATGAAATTAGGATCACTAAACTTCTGACAGTTTGGCATGGATGCCAAAGCTAGGTAACTGAAAGTACTCTAACTGGGAAAAAAGTCATAAAGCTTTATGGGACAGGTTTCTATACTGAAGCTTGTCATCTTATACTAGCTGAAAATTTGGCTTGCTGTGAGGTAAAATCTTTGTTGAGTTTAAAATATATCAGAAGCTTAAAATAGTCTAGTGTCTTCATCTAGGCATTGGGGAGGTGTGGCAGCTATTCTTGGTTCTGCCATTGACCTACATGGTAACCTTGAGGAAATACCGAAACTGCTTTGTGCCTTAATTCTCATTTTACAGATAAGTGAAACTAAGTGCTTTGTAAAGAAGACAACACTTTTCACTAGTAGTTATTAACTGTACTGGAGTGGCAAACCACATGCAGCATCATGGTGGTATCTGTATGAGGAGGAAATGAAAATAAATTCTTATGACACTTTAATTGCAGTAATTCTACGATTTGAGGAAATATGAGATGAGAAAGTTTTCCAGTTAGGTGCTAAATGCACTTATCCTACAACCCCATCAGAAGCAGAGTTCCTTGCTTTATTTTCTTGTAGATGTGGAAGCAGTCCCCACCCTCCCCTACAGTCAATAAAAAGGCAGGGGGGGAATAAATCTCCTGACCAGATGTTTGCATGGAGACTTCACTCAACAGGGGCAACCCTGTCAGTTGAAGGGGCTTCTGTCTGTTCTGCAAATTTGAGAACTTTTTTTTTCCCCTTCTAGTCGTATGAACTGAATTCTACAAAGCATACAACACTAACGGTAAGAGGAAGGATGCTCAAAGTATAAATATATTCCTCAGCATAACAGAATGAGGAAGTGTTTTCAGCTAGAGCTGGCTTGCAGGAAGAACTGTTAAAAATTCCCCCTGTTGCGAAACAGGTTTGTTTTCCAGGTGATTGAAAAAAACCATTAAACATTGCTTTGATAACACATAACACAAATAATGATGTATATTTAGATACTACTAATATTTAAATTTGCTTGATGTTGTGGAAACTGTTGACAAAACTGACTTTCTAATAAAGCAGTTTCATGTTTTCTCATTGGAAACTGTTCACTCTCCAGTTTTCCATTAGCTCTACTTCAACTGTTTTAATGCGTGGTTATCTATAATGCCTCTTGAATTGGGAAGCTGAGCAAACTAATGTTATTTACACAGAAATTAAAATAGACTTCCAGATGAAAATCACAGTGCCTCTAGGTCTTGAAAATTAATCTCTCATTGAACATACTACTCTTGACATATGAGGCTGCTTTTCTGAGTTGGGAGCTCATAAGGCTTTCAGAGTTATTTTTGGTTCTAGATTTATCAATGACATGAACAAGAACCATCTCCCCTTGTCCCCAGCTGCTGCCATTTCTCACACCGTTCACTGCTTAGCTAGAGCAATGTAAGGCAGTCTCTGAGATCTGAGCTAGCAGTGTCCTGCAGTGGTTATGAAGCAGCGCTCTTCCAGTGGAATTGCTTGTACCCCTCCAAGCACGGACTGCTCGGAGACCAGTCATAGCCCTTTGGCCGTGTGGTGGTGTCACCTGGCATAACCAGGTTCTTTGTGTGTGTTTTGGTTTGGGTTTGTTTTTTTAATTTTATTTTATTTTTTAAATGGGTTGGTATGACTAACTGGAAACACACCCAACCTATAAGCAACATGTACATGTTAAGACTTCTGTGAGAATCTGTGCTTGTATCGAGTACTGACACTGCTACAGAATCCAGAGGGAGTGGGAAGGCCAGTGTACTTTGAATACAGTCTCTCCTAGACAGCTCTAAAACCAAGATCTTTTTGGTAGCAGCTCCAAGCAGACTATGAAGAGTATCAGTCTTCTCTCAAAAACAAATTGAAAAACCAAAGCCGCCCTCTGAGTTGCTGCTCTCTAAATCAGCTGTTTTGCTAGGATCAAAGTGTACAAAGAGCTGCTGCTGTCTATACAGTGGCTTATCAGTTCTGTGTAGTCACTACCGTATAGGTAAGTAGTTCAAAGTACTGTATAACAAGTTTACATAGGATAGACTGTATGTGAAATAATCTCTTGTAGGTTAAGCCAGCATAATGGAATTCAACAGGCAAATTCGCTCAGTTTGTACTCTACCCTCCAAACTATGTATTAGCTTTTAAGAAGACTTTGAGGAAAGTTGTTGGTTTTTTTTTTTTTTTAGTGAAGAACTAACATAATATAAATAATATGCTATATGTACTTACACTTTACCATTGATGCTGTAGACGAGGGGACAATCTCTTCCCAAAGAATCCTGATAACACGATGCGTTACGATTACACCGATTACAAGGATACCTGGAAGGCTATGGAGAAGCTGGTAGAAAAAGGTCTTGTGAAAGCCATTGGGCTGTCAAACTTCAACAGTCGTCAGATTGATGATATACTAAGTGTGGCTGCTGTCAAACCAGCTGTGCTCCAGGTAAGATGAATAAAGGAGAGGACAAATACCTTTCCTATTTATCCATAAGAGTGAGGAATTTGCAAACCAATGCTATGTATTTAGCACAAGGGGTGCAGCTTCTTATGTGCAGGGACGAATACAGCCAGCTCTGCAGGAGTAGGCACACAGAGGCGGTCTTTCCAGGCAGATTAATTTGTTGGAGAGGAGGCCTATATCCATGTTCTGTGGCCATTTATGCCTGCTTAGTTGAACAGGTCTCTGAAAGAGTTCGTCTTTCCTGTGAGGAACAGTTTAGTCTATAAGAAAGAAAGATTGTGAGAGAGTAACTTGAATCCCTTCTATAGAGAGCTTCCTTGCTTGTTGGATGATCTGTTTGGTACATAGGGAAGATCCAGCACTCTCAACTTAGGTGACCTGTTCTCCTTTTCCTGTAAACTTAGCCTACCAGACACTTTTTCATTCTCTTGGTAGTAAGTTACCCTTATGAGGATAACTTAAACCTTATCCTCATAAGGTTTTCCAGAATCTGGAATGAACTTCTGCGATGTGTTTGGTTCTGCTGTGCTTTTTGACTTCCTGTTTGTTTAGAGTTTTGTGTTAATCTGTTCTCTAGCCACTCACTGTGGGTGATTTTAATAGGTAGAATGCCATCCTTACCTCGCTCAGAACGAGCTGATAGCTCACTGCCAGAAACGAGGACTGGTTGTCACTGCCTACAGTCCCCTTGGTTCTCCAGATCGCATGTGGAAACACCCAGATGAGCCTGTGCTTCTAGAAGAACCTGGGATCAAAAAACTGGCAGAAAAATACAGCAAGTCACCTGCACAAATCATCCTCAGGTACAGAACAATCGTGAGAGAGGGTGGCATTTGGAACCTGGCCTTAAATAAAGCAAAACAGACAAGCTAGAAGGCATCTACTTAAAGTGCGTGGTCTTCCACATCAGTGGGGAGTTAAAATCACAGGGAGTGCCAAAAGCAAACCCCATTTGGTGCTTGTTTTACAGAGTTGGTAGAGTTGGTCCTGCCGTAGGGCAGGTGGATGGACGAGATCAGAGGGGTCCATTCAGGGCCTGGGCCCATGCCTGGGACGGTTCACTACCTTTTCTGCTGTGGAATAGCACTAGGACAATTAAGGCAGCAGCGTACCACATTTGAGTGCTGCCTACTGAATTTGCACATGGCCAGTTGCTTGAACCCTTGAGTGCTTGCTGCTGCATTCAAATGGGTTCCCTGGAAGAGGGGCTGAGGAAGGGACCTTCCTTCTTTGCACTGAAGAACCATTCGCTGTTTTGTTTTTATATAGCAAAAGCCAGCTACTGGATACTGGGAAAACAAGATGATTGAGTGATATCCAGAATGTGATCAGCACCTTGTAAAGTAAAATTGGATTTCTATCCTCATTTTTTGTCTGGCTTTGTATCTATCAATATCATTAGCACAGTCTTGGGCAGCAGCAAGATACCCTGCCAGCTGAACATGTTCAAGATTTTGTGCTCAAGCCACTAGACAGGCACTTGAGGGATCTGGGTTTTCTTCTAGTTTCTCAGTGGCTGTCATGTTAGAACTTGCATAAAATGCTTAAGTACATTTTTCTGACTGTTTCTTGGGTTTCTAGCTTAAAGCGCCTGAAACTTTCTTGCTTGTTCAAAGGCATGAACCTCTTCCCCTCATTGATCAGTCCGGTGGCTACTGTCTTGCTTGAGCTTGGACATACTAGGTCCTAATACAATACAGTGCTATGTCAGCCCTCTTTGGGTATTTTTATTTCACATAGACACATAAGTGACATCTCTGCTGCTACAGATTATTACTCAACCAAAATAAATACTGTGGTTCTTGGGCTGCATGCACAGAAAATCTGTCTTGTCCTCTTACAGGTGGCAAGTGCAGCGTAAAGTGGTTGCCATTCCCAAGAGTGTCACTCCTGCTCGCATTCAGCAGAATCTCCAGGTAAGTGTGAGGAAAGGAGTTTCAGCAATGCCCTTTCATGTGAGTAAAATACTGTCCTACTACTTGCAGAGCAACAGGCTGAGGCACTTGGTTCATACTTGTTCTACAACGTACGCACACACTTAGAAGGGAGGGTAAAAATTTTTGGAAAACAAACTTGATATGTTTTAAGCAACTAAGTGTGTGAGTGTGCGCGTATGTGCACATGCACAGTCTTGTTATTAAAAGGTAAAGAATGTACTTTTCATTTAGGCTTCTACAAAATCTTCACTGAAATTTATGAGATACAAATTTATTGAACAAGGGAGTCTTCTAATGATGTTCAGTGGTTCTTATTTATGAATAATAGTTGTTCTACTGTGCAAGTGATGGCTGGTGACTACTTCTGCAGCAAACGGCCATTCTAATGATGCTGAAGGAATAAGTGTGGTTAATTTCTGCTCTGAAGTAGAGACTTTAGAAATTATTTGAAAACTCTGACTTCAAATAATCTTGAGGGAGGTCTCTGAATCACCTCCTGTGATCTTTTTTCAGCATTTAATCATACGGATTGGCTGCTTACATACTTGGTTTTTAAGTTAGGAGTTGTTTCTGTAACTGTTACTCCCATTAAACCAAATCCTGCCATGTAGTATGCTGCTAGAAATCTCAAGAAATTCCAGTAAACTCTGCAGTTACTCGAGGTTTAGATCTACATGGGAACAGAATATTGACTGAATAGGCAGCACTTACTTGGAGGAACAGTCGCACTGCTTTTTATTTTTGTGGAAGAGTGCGATGTAGTATCAGTGTAGGCTTAGAGTTGGCAAGTGTGTGAACACCTCTGACTTTAAGCCTTTGTTTTGGTGTTTGTTATAAAATGAGTTTAATTGCAACTTCATATTTATAAACGGAAGACAAACTAATGGTAACCTATAGTTATTGAATAAAGCCTCTTGCTTTTGTTCTCAGGTGTTTGATTTCAGCCTCACAGAAGAGGAGATGGGCCACATTGGAAGCCTGAATAAAAACTGGCGTTACATTGTGCCAATGATTACGGTAAATTACTCATGTTTCTATTAGTTTTCATTATGAGGCCACAACTTGGGGTTTTTGAAGTTTTCTTTCTTTTACTGTCCCCATCGGAACTACTTACTCATAAGAACAGTACATCTTTTAGGGTATCTAAAATGAAAGAATTTTTCAAAAGCTGGGTACAAAAAAGGTAACTTTTTGAAAACTTTTCTCCTTTGTTTTGACCACTGTGGCGCTCTCAAGTTCTCATTACTGAGCTGTCCGTGGGCCTTTAAGCCAGAGTCCCATCTTACTTCAAATCTCACCAAACTCCTGCTGATTTGTTCTTCTCACGTACAAGCAGGCTAAGGTCCATGCCATTCCTCCGGAAGTACTCCTTGTTCCAACTGTCCCCGTCTACTTTATACCATAAACCTCTAAGATCAGTGAAGACTCAGGGTACTGTTAGTTTTCCACATCCATCGTGGAAGTCACATGAGGGAATTTGTCCACTCCCCTCCACTGGATGTCTCCCCTTTCAGCATCTGTTTGTAATGACCTTCCTCCAATGTAAGGAGTTTAGCTTAGGCTGTTTTATTTTTCTTCCCAAATCCATTAGCCGCAGCATCTTTTACCATCAGTAGTTTACTCTGTCACATGAAACCTTAGCTTGTGTGCTATCAGATGCTAGTCTGTTTTTAGAGAACCAATGCCTTGTTAGTGTTGAAGTCCTCTTGGTCTTTCTTTTCTTATATTAAAGGACCTAACCTTGTTCCTTTCCCCTGACTGCAAAAAAAAAAAAAGTCAATGCCTTGTTGTCTCCTGTCTTTATAGTTTTCCTCATTTCTTACTGTCCTGCTTCTGACTATACACCAGAGAGCTGTTGCCATTCCCTGGTGCATCACCGACCAACATATGGCAACTGTGCTATAATGAATCTAAAGTGATTTATCCCTTCTCTATCGTACAGTACACTGCATAGATACAGTAGGTCTCTCTGCAAATTTGGAAGCTGTCAAGCATACCCTTGGCTCTCCAGCAGTTTGTCTGCCTGTAAATTATTCTTCAGTAGTCAGTGGCTACTGGCTATAGGAATTCTTTGTAGAAAGCTTTCCTCTGGGACTTATCATTGAGTTTTTTTGAGTACTTGAGAGGCTATCAGTGACTAGCCTGAGTTAGGAAAGAGAAGTTGTGAATGTGTGGTGAATGACTCTCATATCAAGGGTAGATACTTGTTACAGCTTTCACTGTTTGTCATGCTGGGGCTTACGAAGGCTTCAAGGCCGTGCTTTTAACTGTATGGTTGCTTCAGTATGTGTGTGTAAATATAAACCCCCACATCCCTGCAACCAAAATTATCTTTGTGCTTATGGATCAGGAGTCTGTACACCAAACTGCAAGCTTAGCTGCTCATCTGTGTGAATGTGACAAGCACACCTGCTGCTGACAGTATGTTTCTTTCAAGTGTTTTGCCACTCATGCTGCAAACAAAGTTGTTTTGTTAACAAAACTGCAAAATACATTAGAATGTAGCCTGGCTTGGATGAGCCAGGGATAATTTATGTGCTTTTGTTACCTGGGAGACCTGATCAGATCACAGTGATTCACAAAGGAGAGATGAAATACAGTTCAAAGTGCTAGGCCATCCAATTAGAAAAAGGGTCAACGTGATGCAGCTGGACTTCAAAGATATTGCCATATTGTCAGGTAACAAGGCAGGAAGAAGCAAGATGAGGAGAATTAAAACATGACTCTGTAGCTGTCAGATCTCTAGCGGAACTTTTTGTCTCCTGCCCATCCCTTCTGGGCTTATCAGAAAGAATTTTCATCAACTGTGAATTAAAATTCCTGTCTAACCTTTCATGCCTGTCTTCTCTATGAATCTAACTTACAGTGTCTGGATTTCAAAGCGTGATATGGCAGTGATAACAGAGCTCCTATCATAACTGATGAGACAGTTTTTCCTTGCTTTACTTCTTTGATACATAACCACACGTTCTCATAGTTGTGCCACTGTTCTCCATGTTGTGTTTTGTATAAAGCCTGAGGAGAGGCTATTACATTGCATGTAGACAATTTAAGTTGCTTTATACTTTAACAGTTTATTTTCTGGATAGAGGTTGGGAATTACCTTGCACCAGCCTGAAATCCAAACTTCTGGAAACACGTAATTGGCCAAGGAATATACTTAAGCGGAACTTGAATGACTAGCAAGCCAGGAGAGGAGGAGTGATGGTGTTGTACACATGATGATCTGTCTATTTTTGATAATTAGCTACCGTTGACCTGCAATGTGTTCACTGCTGATTTTACCCCCCTCCTTCTCTCAAATGCCTGGGGTAGACTGGAATCAGCTATGTGAAACATTGCTTCTGGCAACTGCTGTCTTGGCATGCTGCAAACAAGAATGCTTACCTAAAGAGCTGTTCTGTGTAGCGAAATATGCAGGGGGAAGAAACCGGGGGGAAAAATGAGGAATACAAGTTCTAGGAACATGAGGAAGTTGTTGGCTCTCAAGAGAATATGAGGAAACCTGAAGATACTGTGATACTTTTGTCCACAGTTTGAAGGATTGCCTTCAGTTGACAGCTTAATTTCAGCTTTATTTTATTTTAATCTGAGCATCAGTCACATGTTAAACCTTAACATCTTCGTTTTCTGCTCTGTAGTGCCCCCAAGTGACTAATTTCACACTTCAGTAGTCACTGTAAACAATTCATTACTAGGGATTCCAGTTGTTGCTTTGAAATGCAGGTTTTATACTGAAAGCTAATAGAGGGACTTGCTAGTGTTGGATACCTGGTTTGAAAGTCCCTGTGATTCCCTCTGCCCCGGTAACATTTTGAGTGATCTCTAACATCCCATTTGTATGTATAAAAATCACATTTATATGTATAAAAGTCAATGATTTCTCTAACAATTTTTATTCAGTCATTAGTTGCTTAAAATAAGTTTTAGCTGAATGACGCTAGGCTGTCACCCAGGGATGTGTGTATAATTTTGCCAGTGCTGCACCTAAATTTCCCCAAATGTTACAGATGAGGAGCAAGGTTTTACCTCAGCTCCTCGGAAATTGGGGGTGTTGCAATGGACTTAGTGCAACTAGAAATGCAACTTGTGTGTCTGAATGCTTAGAGGTAGGATGTAAGAATTGAGACTTCCGCATGGCCACGTCTGCTTTTGGGCCAGCCTGAGCCTCTGTTTCATTATCTGTGAACATCAGTTTCAGTATTCCCATTTTACAGCTGGAGAAGCTGGCCTTCCATGGAAATGTTCTTAAACAAAAAGTACTATGAAGGAGTTCAGTGACACTATTAATGCTTCAGTGTATGACCCCAAACAAGTTATTCAATGTGTTTCATCTTATCCATCCGTAAAATCAGCAGCCCGGGAACTCTCTATCATGAAAACATGGGCAAATCTCCGACTCCATAGTAAGTGTTTTGAAGTGTGCATGTTACAACACTTAGTAACGGCTACAAGGCAAAAGGCTTTTAACTATTCTTAATCTAATTCTTCAAGCCTCAGCAGCTTGAAAGACTCTTGCTCTAGGCTACAGAAATCTATCTCTTTTTTAATTTTTTTTTTTAATTTTTCTTTCAAGAAGTGCTAAGAGGACTCAGGGGTAGAGGGAACAGCTCTTGTTTAAGCTGGAGAAGATGCTCCCAGATGTTTGGGATATGAAGATTTAGAAATCTAAACCATGCAGAGTTTGAAACTGAGAGTAAGAATGGATTTTTATCTTTCTGACTTGAGTCTGTCTGTTTACTTCACAGGTGAATGGAAAGCTAGTAGCAAGAGATGCTGGACACCCCCATTATCCCTTCAATGACCCCTATTAACTACTAGAAAATAAGGTGTTCTCTGCATGCTCTTCCACAAAGTAATTGTTGCCACAATTTGTCAAAAAACCTGTCCAAATAAAACCTTCCTTCCTGAGTAGGTTTACTTACAATGTACTGCTTCTAGTTGACCTCCTTTCTGGAGGTACTGTAGCTTCTGTAGATTAGAGAAAGAGTGAGGGAGCCAAAATCAAGTTCCAAACATGTCATTATCAGGTTAGGGCAATACTTTGGGGTTTACTGCCTGTGAAACAGTTTTGAAAGCTTTAGTTATTACCATGAGGGAAAAAAAAAAGGGGGGGGGGAAGGCATGAAAGCATTTTAAGACTAAACAACTGCTCAGCCATTGACTTTGATGTCTTTATTAAGTATTTTTATACAGGGAGTAAAATGAAATGTGCTACAGTTGCACTATGTCCATAAACCACTCATTAAAACCCAAGTAACTAGCCATGCCCAGTGCTTTTTATCCCCTTTAGAGTACTTGTGGGACTTAGAACTCTCTCTTCTCTATTTTCTTTTTCTTTTAATTTGCCTGTAGATTTGAGGAGAATAAATGCATACCCTGGAGCAGGCCTTCAGGGCAATCCTCTCTGTTGCTTGTCACTTGGATAGGTTTCAGCTCTGACAATAGCTCTCATGGTCCTATCACAAAAGCCTCGAGAACTTTTTAGCAGGTCTTGTAGAAAAACTCCTGCTTTTCCCGTGAAGTTGCCCAGTGTCTCTCTACCAAAGATGTCCAGTTTGAGTTCTGGAAGGTCACAAGGTTCGTTCCTGACTATACAGCATGAGCAAAGGCCTGTAAGAGGGCCCCCTCCATTTTAATGTCGCATTTTTGATGGCTGCCTGGGCTGATGCTTGGGAGAGCTGGTCCTGTCTCCTGTTCTACCGCTGAGCTGCTGGTAACACCGGGCAAGTAATTTGCCTTCTCTGTGCCTCTTGTTTTCCCGCTTGCCACGTCTCTGTTACTCCCTGGCAGGGACTAATTTGCTGAGTGCTGATACACTGTTGAGCAGGACTGGAGCTCTAGCACTAACAATGGTTTTATTTTGTTTCAGTCTCTTAATGAATTGTCTAGCCATCTGAGTACAAAGGGCATGAGGTGTTAGTACTTACCAGTGCTCTGATGGTGATACCTTCTTTGGCCTTAGCAATGTTAACACTTTATTTTGATTTTTCTCTACCTGTAAAATAGGATTAATGCTCGTTTGCCATGGTGCAGACAGGGTTGCAAGGCAGACTTTCTAACGGCCTGTCGGATTTAAAACAAAGGAACTCTTTCAGATCTGCTGATGCCGTTCAGAGACAGTCATAGGCACGACTCCTTGTTTGCTGCTGGACAAAGAAAGCTTAACTGACTGAAAGTGAAGTAAAGAACACTTATTTTTTATTTTTCCCATAGCAATAACAATGTAGAATTAGAAGAATAATCGTCTGTATTCAAATAGTTCAAAAATTAAAGAATTAGATTATTTTAGTTTTGATAACCTCATTTACAGGAGGCCTATAGTAAAACTATATATTCATCTCGAGCGTAATGCCTCCCGAAGTATTTCCTGCCCTGGGCCTCACAGCATGCAGCTGAACTGGAACAAACCTGTTTATCACTTTTTGTAATCCTTAGGTAAAATTTAAAGAATTTCTGTTCCTCAGTAAAGTGTTTCCTAATTCCCGCTGAATTTACCTCAGTGGAGAAAGCCATTACAGCTCTGTTAGGATTCTTTACTAGACGACGTTTTCTTCTAAGGGAAATGAAATCCCTGTTGGTTTTTTATTATTCTAATCAAACATGGGCGACTTTGAATACAGTTGTCACTGCAAATCAGTAGGGAAGCAATTTTACTTTGAAAGCGCTATGTAGAATGTTAACAGCAGTCATCCTGCCAAGAAAAGTGGCTTTTGTCGCATGTATGTCCACTTGTACGTTTGCATGTCTTAAATAAATACTGTACTCAGTGTATGACTTTGAGACTTTTTTCCCCCCTCTAATGTCAGGGCCCCAATTAATTTTTTCTCGTTACTTCTCTAATCAAGAGTAAGTAAGTGGGCAGAGAGAATTCCCGAGAAAAGCACATTAATTCTGTATCTCCATTAAGCCTGCAATTCCCAGCTCTGTTACTGCATGGAGTAACACAGCGCAGCTGAAGCGGGCGAACCTTTATCTTGAAAGAGCGCAGGGGGAAATGCGCCCCCAGGTCTCCACCAATGGCTTTGCTGCTGCTGTGCGAGTTTTGCGGCGGTCCCCGCTGTCAGAGCTGCAGCAGCGATGCCTGCCGCCTCTGGCAGGTTACACGTGCTGCGGGAAAAGCAAAGCTTCTGCGTGAGCTGAGCCGGAGCCAACTGACTGCTCACCTTGAATAGGCTGAGGTCAAACCTGGCGAGGTTATGCCAGGGCAAGGGTGCTAGTGCCTCCCGCAGCGTTCGGCAGAGAGATACGAGCCCTTCCAAGAAGGGGCTGGTGGTGCGGCTGGATGTGCACCCCGTTAATGCGCGACTGCCCTCCGCTCTGG